ACACACACACACACACACACACACACACACACACACACACACACACACGGCCCCCAACCCATCCCCCTGCGCCAATTGAAAACCCATCTGCGCAAACGCATCAAACGCGTTTACCCGCGTTCACTGCGTTCACCGCTTTCAAAACCTGAACGCGAAATGCGTGTTTAATGAACGCGCGATACCACAGCATTTAAGATATTTCCAATTGAGTAGAAACCGCATTTTGAAACATCGCAATTTCTTTCTCTTTTCTTGTTTTTATCCTCCTTTTCCTTTTTTTTTCCGATTGTGACTGCTATCCTGTATGTATCCGATAAAAAAAAACAAAGGTCGGTTGTGCTCCGTTGTACAACAGCGTTGAGCCTGCATGGACCAATGGAAAGTTCAGTGGTGCATCCCCTTCTTTTGTCAGTGGGAGCGCTAATTGGACCAATCCCGTAGGAGAGTGCAACCTAAGTATGTCTGGTAAGCCGCAAAGGTTCGTGAGCACGGAGCCTGGTATGCCGCAAAGGTTCGTGCATAGGGAGTCTGGTACACCATGGAGAGTCAGGACACCGCACCCTCTGAAATGATACCGAACCTGCTGGGCCAAAACAAAGTGGTTAACTAGTATAAAAAAGTAAAGATCGAGGGCGCACTCGTTCATTCACACGACATTCTGTAGTGGAGCTCTCATAGTAAATTTCCGCTAACAGTTGCCTCACACTTACCATAGCACAAGCAGTTTCCTCTTTCTCTTTTGCAGCACACTTCTTCCTTTTCCACTGCATCAACTCCGCAGGACCTGCGTAGTTACTTTCCTTTTCCTTTTCTTGGTAGCGCAACCCTTTTATTCTTACAGTATTGTCTCAATCTAAGTCTTCGTCGTTGCACATCATTTTTCTTTTTCACTTATCATTTTATTAGTGACTTTTCTTGCACAATGCCTGAGGCGCGTCGAGGACAGGGAAGAGGGAGCGGCGGTAGGGGAGGAAAAAACAGGAGGAGCTTGCACCACATGTCTGAAGACACATCAACTCAGAGGAAGAAGAAGAAAGGTACGGGTATGAGACCCACTCAAGGGCCTACCCTCGCCACTCGTTTCCCGGGTGGTATGAAAGAACTTCATCCCCAATAAGGATTGGATATTATCAGGAAAAATTTACGGCGCGCTACAATGCACCCGTCACTTTTTTCCCTCCATACACTCTCTGACTCTCATAGCTCCTACCACTCCTATGACAAGTAAGGCATTAGTGCCAACTCCACACCTTCTATTCCGTACATAGTTTCTTTCCCTTCTCATCTTAGTGTGTATTTTCTTTTTTCTCGCTTTACTCCAGATAGAATTCATATTTTGTATAAACACGACATCTTTGTTTGAATTGTCTGTTTTTTCTTTTTTTCTTGACTTCTCATTCCACTTCACACTTCATAGCATCCCTAACTTGAGTGTCTGAAAACCTTAAGGCCAGGGATGTCGGTTCCTCGTGATCCAGGCCGCTCTGTCGGCCACCAAATAAAATTTAAGAAGGATTATATCTCAATTTCTCATCTGTGATTGACTTTAATCTTTTGTCATTCTGACATCGAATTTATCTCTGGACGTTTTCCGGTGGAAAAGTTACCTCGTTAACAGTAATGTCGGGAATATTGTCAATCTGACATTAGTGTTGTGGGCATTTGTTGTCAGCAGTATCGGGGATAAGGTATACCAAACTCTTTCTCTTGTTCTCTGGCCTAAGCGAGACGTCCTCTCAACTTCCGGACAAACCGAGGGGGATATCAAACCCTGTTCTCTTTCTTTGATTTGAGTGAGGCGTCTCCTCAACTTCTCAGACAAATGAAGGGGATACCAAACCAATTTTTTCCCCTCTAATTTTGAAACTTGACACGAATCTGCATAAACCTACAAACAACAAATTCAACAAATAACCAACCAGGTTCCCACCAAGAAAATTATCTGATAAGCAATAGTCCAGCAACAATTAAATAAAATAAAAAAATAAAAAATGACCCACAATAAAACAATAAATAGTATAAACCATACTTGTGGCGCCCTGATGCGGTGCGCTAAGCGGGGCGGTGCGCTGTGCACTGGGCGCACATTTTGCAGTGAGCGCATTGCGTGTCGTGCGCTGTGCGTTGTGCGCTCGGTGCGCTGGGCTTCGAGGCATGTGCGCACGGTGCTCCAAATGCAAATACGCCATGCATTTATCTTGCATAGGGTGTGGCCTGCGTGTTGGTTTTTCCTCCGCAGGTCCCGCTTAGGCATCATTCTTCCTGTTCTGATTTATTTTTTTTTTCGTAATTGGCGTCATTCTTCCTGTTTTTTTTTTTTCGTAATTGGAGGGGTTGAAGGGGGAATGTAACACTCACCTGCATTCAGAGTGTGAAGACGCAGTAGTCATAGCATCCAATGCATCCATGCAATCGAGCGGCGACATGACACCACAAAAAAACACAGGAAACAATTAGATATGCATTACATACAACAAAAACAGGGAACACAAGAGAAAAAATAACAAAAACTGATATGAAGTTATGAACTTATGAAGAGTTTGAAATTCATATGTCAGTCGGATGAGAAAAAGAGAACAATGGGTGCACCACTGCACCCTAATCCGCCTTTTCTCATTCTTCCTCCCCGCTCTCCTCCTGATCTGCCGCACCCTCACCTACTCCTTCATCATCACCCTTCTTCATTCCCTTCCTCCCACTGGACTCTAATGAGGAACTTGAGCTGGAAGAAGTCGATGTTGAGCCTTCGGGTTCTTCGTCTCCCCGAATGTCTTCCAGTATATCATCATCGTCGTCATCATTTATGACGGCGACTCTCTTCGTCTTGCCTGCAACAACATTCCTTGCATCGGCTCTCACTGCTGCTTTGGCTTTGTGCGCAACGGCTTTGACAGCAACAGCTTTCGCTGCAGCGGCATCAGCTGCTGCCTTAGCAGCCTTCTCTATGGCCTTTTGTGCTCTGCGTTCTGCCTGTTCCGCCAATGTCGGACGACTTCTCTTCGGTCGCGGTTGTTCTGGCTCAAGAGCGTTCCTTTTGCCTCGCTGCACGGGCGTGTTCCCATCATCCTTCTCTTTGCCCTTGTTTTTGCGCCTACTCCGTGGTCCCTCCGCCCGGCCCTTCACCCATGTGCCCGCTTGTCGAGCTGCCATCGCAAATGCGTAGCCCTCCACTGTGTACAACTCTGGAGGCACGGCCAGCTCACTGCCTGATCTCCTACGCAACTCTCGCTCGCGGTATTTCCCTAGCTTCGTGCACTCATGCCAATCACGTTGCCGCGTACCGACGAGATCAGAATCCTCCTCGTCACACAGCCTCTCCTCAACCTCATCGTTGCACTGGAAGGTGCGCCGCAGTGGAAACTCACCTTCCTCATCATCAACATCCACCACGACGACCTCTTCCTCGTCCACGTCTCCATGGACACGCTTCAACCAATCTGCGTACCACTCCTCCATCTCCTTTTCCACCGGGACGTCATCTGCCCATGGGATGTGGATATCATCCCCCCCGCCACGTTGGTTACTCCTCAGAAGGCGGACATTCCGGTTGTTGTACACAAGCTTGGCCATCCTCTCCGGCATGAGCTTCGTGCGCCTCCTACCACAGGTGAGCTCATGCAAGCTCCAGTTCCACTCGCAAGCGGCTGAAGAGTTTGCCTGGCCAAGCAATTTGATGGCTTGCGGTGCGAGGAGGTCGTGTTTGGAGCCGAACGCCTCCCACCACAAAGCTGGTGGCTGCCGGCTGGCCTGGTCGCGCGCTTGCTCGGTGGATAACCCTCCCAAGCCGTTCACCCACTGGTCAACCTGGAAGCTCACTTCCTTCAGCTTATCTCGTGGCATCCAGGAGTACAACCAAATGTTGAACCCTGCACGGACCTCCGGATCGCGTTGCGCGTTGTGCATTCGGTGCTCAGGATCTAGGAAGGTTGCAACACAATGCAGCTCGCTGGCCATGAATGACCAGCGGTTTATGAGGATGCACTCCACTGCCTCGTGCTCCTCACTTGAAAGGCAATCGAGGGCACGTATGCGCTGAACAACCATATTCATTTTGACGTACACCTTCGAAATGGTCGGTCCTTGACCATCCACCAGCCGAAGCAGCTCCACCACAAGCTTCATCACATCGAGCGCCTTGTTGAGGTTGCTCAAGAACTTGCCCTTGTCGAGAATGATAGTCGTCACCTCGTTCAATGCCACCAACTGGTCTGCCTGTACCATCTTGTCCACCCATCCCGCATCACAGACACATCGATCCAGTGCGTTCTTGAGGTCCTTCAAAGACCCAAGCATCTCAAAGTTGGTGGCAAATCTGGTTGTCGTCAGGCGCTTCAACTTCGTTTTCGGTAAGTAGTTGTTGAACATAGCCCTCACCTTGTCCACATTCGTGAAGAACTTGCCGACCCTGTTCCCAGCATTAACCACCTTCGCCATCCAAGCCATATCCTTGTACATGTCCTCCAGTGCAAGGTTGAGTGCATGGGCAGTACATCTGACGCGAAAGATGTTAGGATAGGCGGCCTCCACCATCTTCCCTGCCTTGACGCACACCCCTGCATTGTCCATGACGACACCGACGACTGCATCCGATCCGATCTGTTTGATGAACTAATCCAAGACACGAAAGTAAGCTTCGGCATCCTTGTCCTTGCCCTCCATGCACACAGACTTCCAGAAGACCGTACTGACAGGTGAGGACACCATAACATTTAGATGGCGCTTGTTTTGGCGGTCGGACCACCTGTCCATCTGCAGCATACACCCAATCTTCTTCCACTTTTGGATCAGGGAATGCACCTCCGCCCCTACTTGCGCATTGTCAGCATCGGAGCGTTTTGTCCTTTGTCCATCCCTTTTGCACGGCATCCACGTCGGATGGGCCTTCTTCACCTTGTCGATGAACTCCAGGAAGTATCCATCCTCCACCAAACTGAATGTCTGGTTCGTGCAGGTAAGAAACCTGTCGAGAAACTGACTCGTCCGCTCATTGTCGAAAAACTGACTCATCGCTCATTGTGCGTGATGACATTGTCAGCCTCCTCGATCAATGTTTGTCGCAAAGGTCCCCTGGAAACTGCCTTGGAAGACTTCGATCCAAGAACTGTGTCTGCGGTCGAGTGAGGTGTGGGTGTTTCGCCAGTGATGCCTGTTGCACCCGCCTGTGAGCTAGGAAACTCAGGGACCTCAGCGGCGGCGGTCCGCGAATTGCTGGGGTCGGACCCTCCGGCCTCTCCATACATCAACACATGAGCAACCCACTTCCCCTGCCTTATCCCCTCTTCCCTCCTTGCCCTCTCCTCCACTGGCATTTTTGTCATGCAATAGTCAAGGTTGCACTTGTCGAGGAAGTGATCCTTGAGCTTCGTCGCAGTCCCGGTAAAACGATGCTCACAGTACTTGCACTTCCAGTGCTTTGATCCCTTGAATGCAAACTTCCCCGCGGCGCCCTCTACGATGAAGTGCAGCTTAATCTGCTCTGTAAGATGCTTGGCTGACATCTTTCCCTACATAACACGATCAACACACCGCAAACAGGGATCTCAGCCCCTATAAAGACAGTGAGAAACTTCTCGAAAATAAATATAGAACAACAAGTTTGACAACTCTAAAAAAATAAATCCAAAGACACATGGGCGAAGGTGAATGGAGGAAAAGGAAGAAGAAGAAGAGGGGGAGTACGAGAAGGAGAGGAGGAAGAAGAAGAGGTGAAGGAGGAAAAGGAAGAAGAAGACCGAGAGGAAGAGGAGGAGGAGGATACGGCAGACGAGGAGGAGGAGAAGGAGGAGGAGGCGCAGAGGAGGAGGAGGAGGGGGAGGAAGAGGACGAGGAGGAGACAGACGAGAAAGATATGGCGGAGGAGGAAGATAAGGGAGAATTTAAGAAGATGTGGAGGGCGAGGAGTAGAAGTAGCCGCAACGGCGAAAAAAAACAACAACGTGCCACGTGGCACGTCACCGTTGGAGTATGATGAGGAGGACGAGGACAAGGAGGAGGAGGAGGAGGAGATGGAGGAGGAAGGTACGGAAAAAAACAAGGAGGAGGAGGATCCGAGGAGGATAACTGCCTGGAAAAAAAAAAAAAAAAAACACCTGCCACATCGCACGTTAGCGTTAGAGGAGGAGGAGGAGGACAAACGTAGGGCGGCAGAGGAGGAGAACATGGTAGAAGATGTGGAGGGCGAGGAGAAGGAGGAGGATAAACTTCCGATAAAGGTGTGGCGAAGGAGGAGGAGGAGGAGAAGGAAGAAGAGGAGGGAGATATAGAGGAAGAAGAGGAGGAGGAAGAAGAAGAAGAGGGGGGGGAGGAAGAGGACGAGGAGGAGACAGACAATAAAGATATGGCGGAGGAGGAAGATATGGAAGAAGATGCGGAGGGCGAGGAGTAGTAG